TCTTCCACTCCCTTACCTTCATCTTCTCGTGCTTCAGATGTCGTACGGGGTGGTGATAGTCTGGGTGTGGACCATATTGGCATGGTCGGAGCAGTGCTGTAGGGGGACTAAGTTTGATATGGTGCCCAATGTGACAGATAAGATGCTGGAAGGAAAGGTGGTGTATGCTGGTACCAATGAGGTGACAGTGATCCATATAAGAATCTGGATGGTGGTCTGTCCCATATAGGTCTACAGTTCATCAGTGACGAATGTTGTAAAGAGAAGCAGCTATGCTGGTCATCTGTTCTGGTGTTGTTACCATGTGTGGAGAGTGCCAGAGATCTAGCTGAGGGAGGGGCGGGACCAAGGACAGACAAACAGTGCCACAGACAGAGCTGAGGGAGGGGCGGGACCAAGGACAAACAGTCAGTGCCACAGACAAATGTGAGGTGCAGGAGTCTACATTCATATGATGGAGGACGTGTTTTGGTGCTGATGACGACTTTGGTGAGAATACTTTGGTGCTGGTCTCATAGAAACTGGTGCTGAGGAGGAAGCAGTTATTGGTGCCGGAAAGTGGGTTGGCACCGACTGCGGTGCTGGAGTAGGTGGCATGTCAGCACAGGTAGCTTTAGGCACCAGGGACCAGGCAGTGGTATGACAGTGTCATGGCTGATGTGGTTGTTTTCTGTGTACGCTCCGATAGAGCCTTTGTTGGTGCCAAAGGCTTCTATGCCAAAGACACACCGGAAGTGCCAGGCTCATCTCCAGTGCTGATTTTTTATGAAGTCAGCACCAGAGATAGATTTGGCCGGTGAGGTATTCTTCTTACAAGAATCCTTAGTAGAAGAGGAGGAGGAAGCTAGTCTCAGTCGCCGTATGAGGCTGAGCCTTGTCCTTAGCTCCAGTGGAAGAAGTATCGTCCATGCTAGGCGTGACAGACTTCTCCCATAAATAGGATTGGAGGTGAAGCTCACTCTCACATCATCATGCTACTGCAATGTGAGCATTCGGTGGGAATATGCTGCTTGCTGAGAGTGGATGCATGAGGAGTGGCAATCTGATATGGGCATGGCCTCCCTGCACGTGTCACATCTCTTGAATCCCAGAGAGCCGGGCATTGTGGTGACAGACTGAGAATGCTCTCCTTGCTCCACGAGTTTGCTGTAGTTAAAAAAAAAAAACAACAACAAAAACCCAAACCAATCAACCAAAACAAAAAACAAAGGGGAACTGAGGGATGTTAGGAAGGGTAAGGGAAACACAAATTCAGGGTTTATTTTTATTTTGAACCAAGAGAAAAAAAATATTTTTTTAAATAGAGGGCAATGGAAAAAGGGGAAAAAAGAAGGAAAGCTGAAGAAAGTGGGTTAATATATTTTTTAATGAAGACCGCTGAACTGCTAAGGGCTCTATCTGCTGCTGCGGATGGTAAAGGAGGAACTGGGGGGAGAGAGGGGAAATCATGCTACACGCACAGCTAACGGACAAATGGCATGTGAGGCAGCTACAGCGCATGCACAGCATGTCTAGACTCCACTAAGAAAATTCATCGGTCGCTGTGGGAATTTGGCATGTGAGGCAGCTACAGCGCATGCACAGCATGTCTAGACTTTGCTAAGAAAATTCTCTCATCGGTCGCTGTGGGAATGCACTGATACAATGTGGAGCACCCACAGGGACGTCACTCAAAGAAGAAACACAATTTTTGATATTATTTTAATGTTATAAATAGTATTATGTAAAGACACTTTAAAAATACAGAAGTGTAGGTAAGAAGGTATTCATTATCTATTCTGGCTCCAGACAGAAGTAAATTAATTATAATAGGTTTTGATTTGCTCCTCCCAAAGGGTCCTTTCTTCCTCTACACAAGACCTCAAATATGAGTTTCCACTCGGTCACTCATGGTCAACATGTATGCTGCTTCATGCTCTGGCCTGCATCTTTTTTTACTTAAGAGATTACTTTCCCAGGAGAGAACAGATGTTAGCTAAACACAAGGTGAAGCAAGGGGTTGGATCTTAGGCTTAACTGAGTGGCTCCAGGTCAGCTGCGTTAAACAGGCTGCCTAATGCCTACCAGTCCCGGAGTACCACGCTGTGCCCTAGAAGCAGCCAATAGGTCAGGCTTCTGGGGAGGACCCCCATCCCCATGAGGCACTATGGTATGTAAAGCCCCATCGTCCCCGAGCCTAGGAGCTGGACCTGCTGCTTCCCAGCTGGCCTCAGCAGGGAACTGCCCTGGCCAGGGGAAGAAGGGTCCTGCCCAGCAAGGCTCAGCTATCCCACCCTGCTGGTGCATGGCTCAGCTGGACTGCAGGGGGGAAGACTGGGGAGGGAGCAGGAGCTGGTGCATGG